AAATCAGAACTGACTATAATTTTAATACCAATTTTTTAAGGAAGACTGTTTTCCAACCATGAACCAGAACTGCAAATGTAAGAATACAAGTTTAAATGGCTATTAGGAGAATAAATGGATGGCATATATTTGAGGGTGTAACTCCACTAAGGTTGTGTACGGTTGTTAATCAACCCTGGATAGTAAGCTATTTGCTTGTAAACTGGCAGAAAAAAAGTTATCTGATGTTTATCTGTCATTTGGTAGTGACATGACGAGCTTTGACCCGCAAAAAAAAATATGCAAATTAGGCTGAGTGTGGATTCAATCCACACTCAACTAATTAAGTCCAGTAACACGAGCCCGTGGTTCGCACATCTCTTCATCGCAGCGTGAAAGAGAACTGATAACTTACGACATTTCTGATGACATTTTATTCACAATAATGACGTGTGAAAAACTTAACACAACCGTTTGGCTTCATGCCCGTATAGCTGGCCAGCCTCAAATAGCCTAAAGACACGTAAACATCCACGCAATCAGCGAGAGACTTGACAAAGTGCCCTCTGGACTTGAAAGAAATAAAAACTTATCTCACCAAAATATATATACAAAATAGACATAATTTTAAATATAATGAACTAGAACCGACTTAAACTGACGTAGAACGTTAAAGAACCGAATTAAAACGCCGTGAAACTGGCTAAAGGTTCTGATTAGTCTGATGGGCTGAGCCCGGCATGTTTCGTCAGCATAAAACCCACGAAACTTATCGAATCGCGTAAGGCTAGAAACACTATTTTCAAAATCTTTATAAATATACAAATTATTTTACGTATTATGAACTAGAACCGACTAATTAGTTCCGCTGGGCATAATATTTATTTAACATTGAGCCCGGCGTGTTTCGTTAGCTTGAAACCCACAAAAACGTTTCGGATCGCATGAGGCTACATGTAAGTGACCTTAAGGTGGGAACTGCTTGATCCTACACGGATAAAAAGGAAACGGCAAACACCAAAGTTAATGTCTAGTTGCCCGAGAAAACAAAAAGAATCTAAAACTAGTGTCAACAGTGCAGCAAAAGTTCCTCCAAACTTGGCCGCTTAGCTGGATTGTCTAAAATAGCTTGCTTTGCTGCTTTCAGCGAAAGCGCTGTTGCAGTTGGCAACAAATTTAAAATGGCAAGAGCAATCCTTCCAATACTAAACACATCTGACTGTACACTCTGTCGGCTTTCTCCGCGGACGATTTCCGGTGCGATGTGAGGATATGAACGCCGGTACTGCTCTTGTGCAGACGCAGACAAGGACATTAGTGCTTTAGGATTGGAAATGAAACGCGCTTTCCCGAAATCAATGATTACTGGATTCCAATCTTTCCCACGTTTTTCGAGTACAATATTGTTTGACTTTAAGTCGTTGTGCAAAATGTCCTTGCTGTGGACATGGCTAAGGGCCTCGATAATGCCTCTTAAGATGCGAAGCCAGCATGGCTTGTCCAGCTCCACTCTTTTCATGGCCTTGTAAAGCGTTAAACTTTGTATCTTGTCCCCATGGAACTGAGTTACAAGACGAAATGGCGTTGACTTCGTGATAACTCCAAAAAGAAAGGGGAGTCCACGGTGGTCACCCAAGTGACTTATCATTCGGGCCTCGTTTAGAACCTCGCGTTTCACATCTTTGTCGGGCCTTGATCGTCTTGACTTGAATTCCTTCACTGCCACTAAAATTCCTCTGTAGTGGGCAAGATGGCATGTGCCGAAGGTACCAGAGCCCAAGAACTTGTTGGCATTGATTATCTCCGTGGGATTAATTTGTTTGATTAATTCTTCTGACGTTTGTTTCACGTTGGCGAATTCTTCATGTCCAGCAGCTTTATCCATCCGTACCTGGACTTGCTCCTGTTGCTCTAGAGGACGGCTTACCGATGGCTTATCGGGTTGAATGAGGGCAGCTGCAGGATTGGGTTCCCCGGCTTCACCAACAGCGACAGGACTTTTTTCTGACGCGGCTTGCTCGACTGCGTGCTTGAGGCGTTTTTCTTCCGCCTTTTTGTTTCGCCACCGCTTCTTTGCTTCAATTCTAAGAGCTTTGAATTTGCTTTTATCCTTCATGTTCTTTCTCTTGTTTCTTGCCATTTTTCGCACTGAAAATATCTTATACTGATGGAACAGATCTAATCTGGTTGCGAAATCCAGATCTCGCGTGGGACGTTTCGCTTCCGGTTAATCGAGTTAAAAAATAGCAATATTTTGCATTACGTCACCTTCTATCATTTTGCCACGCAGTGCAGAGAGTTATGTCTGTTTAGTTGATGAGCCGGAAATGTGAACAACAGAAGAAATTTGACGTCAAATGTACCTGTGACCAGTAAATACCGCCATTCATTGAGAAGCCCTTCCGGTCAAGAGGTTAATTATTCAACAACATTTAAAACTTAAAAACATGGCGAAAGCGGTGTACAAGACGCATTGCGATCTTTGCTCCGGCTCTTTCAATACTACAAATGCTCTTCAACGACACAGACTTGTAAAGCACCGTGGAGCGCGATCGGTTTCCTTTTTGCCGTTTTATAAAGCACAAGAAGTCGTGCAGCTTCCTTCAAACAAATTGAAAGGACGTAGGTCTACAGCCTATAAACTGTGGATAGCAGGCATCGTGGAAAGCATAAACTCCTGCTTGCATCCCAAAGCCAAAGGTAAGTGTTATCTTTCCTGAATGTTTACATAAAACCCTAGTGAAGTCAATTGAAAGCGTTTGTGGAAAATGCCGTCATCTCGCGGATGTTGTTCATAAAAGGCTCATTGTTCTAGCGCTCGCGAACGAATAAATGGACGACATTGCAAGAATATTACGGTTGCACCGACATCCCCTATGTTAAAGGAGCTACGTCACGGTTTGCGCATATTGAAAAGTTTAGCCTCAATTTTTCAAATTCGTCGTTTGTAATCCGTGT